AAGTGATGAAACGGGGCTAGTTTTCGGCCTGCAAAGCCTGCAGAAGCCTTCCTCAAGCCTTTGGGAGCCTGAAAAAGGCCTCAAACTGGCCGAAAATCAGCTGTGAGGCGCGCGCATGCGCAGTGAGGTAAGTTTGCCTGCAGCTTGTGTGCCGGCACGAATGGCTCTGTGTGCCACGCGTACCATAGGTTCACCATCATGGCCCTAGAAAGAGCGCAGAGAAGAGCAACAAAGAGGATAAGTGGTCTGGAGGCTGAACTAGCGAATATGAAGAATGGTTAAGTGAACAAGGTAAGTTTAAGCTTAATGAAAAGAAAACTTAGGGGCGACATGATAGCCATCTTCCAATACTTGAAGGGCAGGCACAGAGAAAAGGGTTTCAATTTATTCTCCAAAGCACCTGAGGGCAATGCAAGAAGCAACAGGTGGGAAGCTCATCAGGGAAAGACTCAATCTGGAACTAACGAGAAATTTCCCAACAATGAGAACAATTAACTGATGGAATAGCTTGCCTCCCAGAATTGTAGCTGCTTCATCTCTGAAGTTTTTAAAGAAAAGATTGAACAGCCATTTGCCCAGGATGGTATAAGGACTTCTGCTTTGGGAAGGGAGTTGGACTAGTTCCCCAACCTTTCTGGGTTGGTGGTCCAGAGGGGGGCGGGGTGGAAGGGGCAAGTACCTTTACGCATACATGCACTGTCAAGAGTATATTCATGAACTGGAATAGAGTATAGTAACAAGGTCAACCGACAAGGGATGAGTTGAGGGCTGAAACTTAAAGAGAGAATTTGGGTGTGGTTTAATCTCTGTTCTGTGCTCAGCTCTAAAGTGAAAGAGAAACTAACTTGTTTGCTTGTCTGCTGAAGTTGAGTTGCTGTTCTGCTCTGAACCTGTAACATGTCTGCTGTTTGAGTTTGCTCCATGTTGGAGAAATCTATAACTGGTATTGTAAAATTGACTTGTGTTTATAAGGAAGTTAAATGAAGCCTGAGCCATCTGTGTTTACTTTTCTGGTGCTGAATTTACACTGCAATAGTCTGAACATGCATACGCATGAACGGGGCCGTGAGAGCAAATGGGGCCATGAGCGATCATGGGACGGGATGACGCTAGCGCCCGTGTGATGCTAATGGTGACACTAGCGCGAGGGGGTCAGCCATTCATGCAGGCCGGGGGCCAACAGACCATGCCTCAATAATGGGCCATAGCCCACAGGTTGGGCACCCGTGGCCTCTGAGACTTCCAAGGACCCTGCCAGCCTTACGATTCTGATTGTTCTCTTCTCAATCTTGTAAAAAGTATTCAAACTAGGAACATAACCTGAGAGGAACTGAGCCGGCTTCAGGATCCCCTTATTAAACATCAACAGGGATTCATCTTAATTCTCCCTCAGTAGTCCCATTTCCATCTACATAAAGTAACACTTGAAAAGTTCTTTGAAAACTATGGTATTATTCCGATGTAATGCTGAACTGCATTTTCACAAGTACAACTGCTAAGCCCAAAGCTTGGATTCTTCCAGTTTCCTCCTCCTTTCACACACAATGGCACAAATCATAAAATATATGATGGTTGAATTCCAAATCCTGTATGATTTGTTAATAACACAGGAAAAGGAAGAAGAGAGGGTGAGGGAGAGGATGAAGACTCTTGAATGCAGGAGTTTGGTGGCACGGTGGTTAGAATGCAACATTGCCCAGCAAATCCCACCAAGCTCAAGGTTGACTCAGCCTTCCATCCTTCCAAGGTGAGTAAAATGAGGACCCAGGCTGTTGGGGG